TCCCAGGTGAGCCAGGCCCAGGGCCCCCCACGGGAGCTGGAAGGGGCAGCTCCAGGCCCCCAGCTGGCACTGGGGCTCTCCAGGACACAAACACCCCATCAATCCCCGCTCCCCCTCTACCTCCAGGCCTCCCCATGGGGCACGTTTGTGGGGACCTGGGACATGCCACGGCGGATCCCACCAGCCAAGCTGGACCTGACCTCCCGCTCAGCCGCTGCTGCTGCGCGGCTCCTTGACCGGATCCACCCACCCACCACCTTGACCCGCGCCTGCAACGGCCTCCGGACTGATGTCACGGGCAAGGTGGGTGCCCCTCACCAGGGCCAGTGCCTGGTGGGGTCCAGCGTAGCCCCCTGATGGGGTCTGTCTGCCAGGATCTGGCACAGTGGACAGTCACAGGGCTGGGGAAGAGCAGATTTCAGATGTTTTGTACCACGAGGCAGTGCCCGGTGCCCATGCTACCATCTCTCCTTGATTTTGGGATGGGGCTCCTTCTGCATCACACCAAATCCAGGCTGGTCTCCCTGCTGCTGGCCAGGTGCCCAAGCTGCTGCTGTGCCGGCAGGAGGAGCTCATCAGCCATCACTCTCCACCTGAAGAAAAGCATTCAAGAATCGGGCTGCTCTGAGGCAGAAGGGTTCCCAGAGCCCCCAGCACCCCTCTCCCACCTCTCTGAGATAGAAGCACTTCGATGAGCCCGGCACAGAGCCTGGCTCTGCAGCAAATCCCTTCACAGCAGCTGGGCTGGCCCAGACCCACCCCAGCATCTGTCCAGTCCATTCATCTCCTCCCCTTCTCCCATGATCCCATCCCCACCTTGGCACATATCTTATGCAGCCCCAGAAGCCTTGGCCAGACACGCGAAGAGCCCGTGAGCCTTCCCAAGGGAGCAGTCAAGCACCCAGCAAGGGCACCCAGCCCACCGGGACGCAGCTGGAGAAGCCACCAGACACGGGAGCAGGAGCCACAGCACCACCCACCCCTCAGCCTGGCTGCACGGGGGAACAGCTGCAGACAGAGGTGTCCCAAGACCCCCTGGCTGCATGCCGGCCTTGCTCCAGCACAGGAGACAAACCCCATGCTCCCACCAGCCTGCAGTGACAGAGCCCAGGGGGGACAGTAGCTCACTGCAGGGCTTGGGCCCTCCCATGCTGTGCTCCGAGCTGGGTTTGCTCTCCCCCATTCCCCTTCCTGCAGACCACCCACCCTCCAGCCCTGCGTATGAAAACACCTTCCGACCCCCAGACTCCCACAACAAAGATGCCTGAGAGAGGCCAACACTGAGACAGCACCTGTGTCTACACATAAATTGGAAAAATACAGGTTAAAAAAATGATAATAATAACTTCCCCTGTTTAGTTTCAGGCTGTTTGAGTCAGGTGCTTCAGTGGCAGACCATGGCTCGGGGGTGGTGCCCCCACCCCTGCTCGCCAAAGGGAAATAAATTCTGGGGAGTGCAGCTGAGAGGCACAGCAAAGTCTAACTCTGTTAGCAGCTGGCACACACCACAAAATAGCTCATTAACAAGCAGAAGTGGGTTCCAAATAAAAGCCATTTCAGCAACTGCAGGAAATAATTGGTTTAAAGCTAAAATACATTCATTTTCACCCAGAAGCAGCTCTCTCCTGCTGGGCAGTGTGGCCATGCCAAGCAGGATGCAGCAGAGTCCTCTCCCTCTGCCACACTGGCAGCTTTTCCCTCCTCGATGATTTCTCATTGATGAGGTGCTGAGTCCCTTCAGGGCTGCAATGCCTTCTGCTAATTAAAGGGAGTGGCAGATTCATTAGGTCCAGCAGGTAGAGGGGCTGAGCGAGCTGGGGGGACAGGGCTCAGATTGGCAGCAGAAATCAAAGCAGTGGCAGGGAAATAAGCCCAGTCAGAATGAGGGATCTTGCCCTGGCTTCCCCTCCTGCCACTCCAGGTCTCCATCAAAACCCCACTAAGGGGAACAGATGTTCCCCTTTAAGCTGACATTTTGCCAGCTAAGTTTGCGAAGGGGAAGGAAGATCCTGCCTGATACTCAGCCAAGACCCTTGGCTGGGACAGGGGGGCAGGACAGAGCTCCTGATGGGAGTGTCCTCTGCAAAGCTGAGCTGCTGGTGACAAGCATTAAAAATGGGACAATTTGAGCAAAAAGCTCCTGGACCTCAGGCAGGCACAACCAAGAACAATCCAGGTAGCAATCTCCTTTCTGCCAGGCTGGCAGCACTCCACAGAAAAGCCAACCCTGCACCCACCAGCTCCAAAGTCTGGCACTACACCTGCCTCCAAATGCTGCAAAGTTTGTTTTTCCATTGTCTGGCTCCACTGGGAAGCAGTGACTCCCTGGATCTCAAAGCAAAACAGCCCTCCCCAGTTTACGTGGCCTCAGACAAGTGTTGAGCACAGAGACAAACCTGGTGGCTCGTGTGAAGGATCAAGACTGCTTTATTGCAAAGGTGGATGAGTGACAAGTGCTGAAATGAGACCTGGTGGCCATGTCCAACCAGAAAACCACGTCACTCCTTGTCCTGCCAGAGAGGAACTTCCTAACAGGAAAACTGGATTTTTCATTGGCAGGGGCTCCAGGGCTCCAAAGCTGGCCAAATCACAGTATTTTCAAGGATGAGGAGTGGGGATGGAACCTATGCAGGTCTGAGCACCCCATCCCAGCCAGCTGGGCTCAGAACACATAAGGTCCCAGCCCAGTACCCAGCACCCATTCCCATCACCCATTCCCATCACGGGTGCCAGCGTTGGCAGCTCCGCCTGCTCTCCCTGCTCTGGCACTGGGTGCCTCAATGGAGATGCTTGTCCTGTGCTGGGCCTACACACACACCACCAGCATCCCTGAGCCCACTCAGACCTTGGTGACACAGATTCAGCATTGTCTCAAGCTTGGGGACAGAGCAGAGAAAAGAAACGTCCTGGAGTTTTTCCCTGGAAGAAGTGAGGCAGCTCCGTGCCAGCAACTGGGATGGGCTGTTAATTTGTGCCTATGGCTGCTCTCGGGCACACAGCACGGCAGGGGACAGCCTGGCCAGGGTCCCCCCGGGCTAAGACGGGGTAGTTCATCAGCCAGGCTAAGGAAAAGCAACTCTGATTATCCACAAGATTCATAAGAAGGGGAAGGGCGACCTTTCCCAAAGCTTTATAGTTACTCGAGAGCCTCTCCTCTCGCCTCCCTCTCCACACATGTCTTGGGGTGGGCCAGGACGGAGTAAATCTTCCAAGAAGGGAGGCCATCACTAGGGAGACACCTTCACATTGCCGCCAGGCCGGCGGAGGAGAGCAGGGTCAGGATCAGAACCAGCACCCCAGACTGGTTAACCTGGGGGATCTTGAACCCCTTCCCCAGGTCCCAGGCCTGCAGGAGAGAAGAGACACAGCAGGGTTAAAACAATAGCCTGGATGGTCCCCAAAGGCAGATGTGCCAAGGTGCAGGCAGAAAGGCACCTCCTTCTGATGAAAGCTGGAAAAAGGTCTCAAAAAACTGCCTTTGGACTATTGAGTATAAACCGTAGGGAGGGCTACAAGTGTCCATCATTGCAGAGCAAGGGGCTGGGGTCTTCCTGAAGGCACACATGCTTTGTGCCACAGGAAGCTTATCCCCCACCAACCCTCCCATCATCTGCAAAGCCACCCATGAGCTCTCCCTAATCTGCCACAGCACTGCCAGGTTTGCTTCAAAAGCAGCAGCTGCTCCCCCCTGCTCCCCTCCTCTGACAGAAATAGGTTACTCAGACGAGCCACAGAGCCAAGGCAGCACCAACATCCCCAGGGCAGGGCTGCAGCCCCCAGCCTCCCTGTGCCCACCCCTGCACACGGTGTGAGCCATGGGACCAGACTGAGCCCAGGTGGCAGGGAGAGACACCAGAGCAACACCTGGAGCTGGGAGTCCTTGGTTCCCAGGTGGGTTTTACCCCTTGGATGCATCTGGCCAAGCAGGAGTGGCGCTGACGGCAGCCAGGGGAGCACAGCCCACCCCCAGCTTCCCGGAGAGCCCTAGGACCTGACGCAGATCAGCACCTGGGGCAGAGGCACTAAACTGGAGCTGCTCCCAATTTACTCCCCTCCTACCATCAAAGGGCTGCATTGCTGAGCACAGCTGGGGGGCAACACTGCTGCTTTCCTTCTCAGACAATTTAATTGGCATCCTAATCTATCTGTGCAGTTAAGACTTCAGCATGCATTTGGCTCAGCATGCTCTGGAGCAGCTGGCTGTGACTGCTCCTTGTGCCCCACAGCATCTCCAGGAGCCAGCAGAGCCCAGCCGGCCACGCTCCCAGACCTTGTCCAATGCTAACGAGCACGCTAACAAGCACTCGCTGGGAGCCACTGGCCGCCCTGAGGGCCCAGAGAGGGGGCTCTCCCTGCATCACATAGCTGTTGTGCACCCCAGCAGCTCAGCCAGGCTCACACGAGCACCTCAGAATGGCTGCTCTCAGGTATGGGATGCAAATTCCAGCAGCACTCAGGTCCTGTGTTTCCACACTGGAAAAACTGGAAGCTGTTGGTGCCCACAGCGCGAGCCCAGGTCTATGGCCCCGCACAGGATGCTCCCCCTGCCCAGAGCAGAAGGATCATGTCACACTCTGGACCAGCTGCCTTTGCAATTTGCTTCTGTAAAACCTATCAGGAACTGCAGAAAATTAACCACAAAAAGCAGCACATCTTGTCCTGTTCCCAGCAAGAAACCCTCAGCTCCCAGCTCCCCCTCTGTCGTCAAACACAGGAAGCTTGGCTGAAGGGAGCTGCTCGTTCCACTCCTCAGCCCAAGGCAAACATGACAGGTTACTTTCTGTGCAGACAGCTCCATCCCCAGTCCACTACCACATGTCTCCTGAGCTCATTAATTACTATGAAGCACTTTGAAGATCACAGCACAACAGCTGCATGATGAGGGCAAGATAACGAGCAGTGGGTGGCAGCTCTGCAGCTCCGAGGGCATGGCGGAACGCCGCTCCCCCACCGGGGGGACACCAGGGGATGCTGCATCCAGCTGTGCCACTCGCTGAAGTGCTCTTTGCCACTTAAATCTACCCAAAAATAGCACCGAGGTTCTGAAGCACTTGAGGTGACTAATTCTCATTTCCAAGGGCACCTTCCCAGATGCTGTGGCCGGCAGAAGCTTCCCTCCCCTCAAACCCCCAGCCCCTCACAGAGGCTACTCACAAGGTGTCGGATCCCATTCCAGGTGTGGTAGGTGAAGGGGAAAGCCAGAGCAAACTTGGCAGAGTAGATGAGAGCAGGGCCCAGGCTGAGCGACTTCACCATGGCCAGGTAGTGCGGAAACTGCTCTGGGAGCAGCAGGGCAGCCAGGCCAAAGAAAGAGACACCTGAGAAGAGCAAAACCACAGGTCAAACCACTAGAAGTGTCACCAGACCCAAGCCACCTCTGTCTCTCTGGTTTGGTAACACAGACTGAACCTGTGGAGCAGCCTGTGGAGGGAGCTGTCTGGTGGCAGTGCCAGCAGCAGGGTGACAATGTGCCTTGGGGAGCTGGGGACTCAAACTGGGGCAGCAACACCCTAAATCTGGGTCCTGCAGTGGGGGCTGCATTACTCATACAACACCCAGGTACCAAACTCACGCAATTACAGCCAAACTATCTCAAATTCAAGGTTCAAGGAATGACAAAGTTCAGAACTGTCAGGTAGCAGCTCTTCAGCAAAGATGTGCATCTGGGGACAGAAACTGCGCCACTGCTACGGGCAGTGATCTGGCGAGGACCAGCACAGGTATTGGCAGACAAGGGGCCTGGTGCTGTGCTGCCTGCAGGAGCTGCAGCCACTTCTGCCTGTTTCTGGGCCAAGAGGGTTTCTCTCTGGATGGTGCTGCCGAAAGCAGGGGAACAGCAGCAGCAGCCACGGCTCAATAGCGCCTGATTGCACCGCGGCACAAGCTCCAGCGCTGCAGCCCACACTGGCACTCGAGCAGCTGCTTCCTCACTCAGCCACTCATCTCCTCAATGGCCTTTGTATTCGCCCTGCAAGCGCAGGAAGTCAGAGGCTCTTAATTATAGGCCTTGATGGAGAGGAGCTGAACGCTTCCCCCTCCTCCTCCTGGCTGCTCAGCTGTGGTCAGCAGAAGTGATGTTCCCTCGTGCTCCATCGGCTGGGCAAGGGGATGATTCTCTCTCCAGCAAAGGCTGACAGATGAGAGCAGAAAGGCAGCACAGAACCTGCCAGCTCAGCCTGACAGCCAGCTGGACAGGGAACACATGGGGCTGGGCATGTCCCAGGCTCTGGAGACAAGGTCCCAAAGCACAGTGGTGCCAGCCTGGCAGCCAGGCAGCACCCTGGGCTGGCACAGGGACAAGGGACATGGCCAGCCTGGCACAGCCAGAAGCGCACAAAGTCACTTTGCCATGCTGGGAGCAAGCAGCCATCACCATGGAAGGGTCTGGGGGCAGAGCTGAGCCTCCACCAGGGCTCTGCTGTGCAGATATGGGTGCAGGGGACTCGTGGATGCCCTTTCCTAGGAGCCCAACTCACAGTTGCTGAAGGAGGTCGAGCTGAGAAAGGCAAGCTGCAGCCCTTGCTGCTCCCTCTTTCTTTGCCAAGCAAAGAACTCAAGTCCTCAGCCCTGCACAACTTTCCTCAGCTCTCTGTCACTCTCTGCCCTTCTGCAAACACCAACCCAGCTCCCCACCCTCAACAGGGGGCAACCAGAGAAGCACCTTCCTGCTGCCAAGAGAGGGCATTAATGGAAACAAAGCAGCCTTTCACAGTCAGATTCCTATCATTAGTCAAACCAGGCAAGTCAAATTGCTGGAGGGAGTTTATCGGTTTTGATGCTGGCACCCAGGAACGCTGGGAAAGCTGAAGCTGTTCCCAGGGAGCTGAAGAACTCCACCCATGCTAACAAAAATCCTCTGCGCTCTGCCTGCCCCAGTCCTTCCCTCACACAGGGTCTCCTGTAAGGGTAAACCAGCAAAAAGCAGCCCCAGAGGAGATGGGCTGAACCCTGGAGCAGCAGATGGGCCTTAGACAGACAGGGAAGTGTCACTGCCTTGGTAGGACTGGAGACACTGGCAGCACCAGAGGACACAGGGGCAGAGAAACGGGGATGGGGAGATGTTCAGGGACAGAAAAGGGAGAGGACAAGCACAGGCTTCCCAGGAGAAAACCTGCTTCTAAAGCTGACAGAGGAGAGAAAGCACGTGTCAGAATCAGAGAGGCCCTCCCCATGCAGCCCCACGCACCTAAGCTGAGCGCGACGCCGGTGCCCCGGTGCGTGATGGACATCGCCATGGGCAGTGGCCACCTGGAAAACAACCAACGTGGTGAGCAAAATGGGGCATGACACCACGGAGGCCCTGAGGCCCAGGACAAAGCCACAGCCCCTCTATTCCTAGACAGCTCCAGGCTGCTGGGCGGGTATTTCTGCACTCGGAGCTATTCCAGGAATCCAGTCTGAGCGAAAGGGGAAAGACGGGGGAATGTGCAGAGGCAGCTTGGGAATGGCAAATGCCACTGGCACGGGTTTGGGAATGGGAAGGGCGTCTGCTGAGAAAGCTTAAAGGGAGGTGAAAGAGGAGAAGACTATCATGCTACTCTGGTTGAGGAACCAAGGGGCAGGGTTTGGGCATCCAGGCTAAGGGATAAACAAGGGAACCTGGAAAAGTGCAGCAGATGCCCTGCCCACCCTCCCACTCCAGGGTGCCTGTGGGACTGGGCTGTGGTGTGGCAGAGCCCAGGGGTGCCCCAGCATGACACCCAGGAGGCCACAAGGCTCTTACTTGTAAATGGTAAAGTGAGGGGACAAGGGACGATTGGACTTGGTGTTCTTCTCCCAGAAACGAGCCATCTCCTCCTTGGCTGTCGTTCCCATCGGGACAACACTGCAAAAGAAGAGGAGACAGGTGGTACAGGAGGATGGGCAGCATTACACCCCTGCCCGCTCCACCGGGACAGTTCCCATGGCACAGGATGAGCTCCTGGCAGCCCTTGGCTCCAGCTGTGCCTGGACACAGCATGGGGGCGGCCGGGAGGGGGGGGAATGCTGCTCCCTCTCCAGAGGGAGTAACACCACCAGGGAAGCTTCAGCACTGGAATCCACTCGGCCAGTGGAGCTGAGCCCACCCCGGCGCAGGATATCAGATAACATGTTATGTAACACTGATAACACAACCTGCTCCCGCTGTGGTAATTGCAGACTGTGCCACATAAAGAGCTTGTCATGTAACGTTCCCAAGATTACACAGCAATTACATTTGCAGCCAAATTTAGCAGAAAATAACTATCTCCCCCTAAGCCCAACAACACGAAGCACAGGGACAAGAGGGCTTCTGCGGTGCCCACCTCCCCGTGGGGCGGAGCTGAGGCCACAGGGGTGACGGGCAGAGACCCAGGCCCACCCCACCCCAGCCGCTCCCTGCAGTGACACCCCCACCCCAAGACCCAGCCCCTTCATAAACAGGCCATGGTGGACGAGGTGGCAAGTGGCCAACACACGGGGTGGAGGGAGTTTATCGGTTTTGATGCTGGCACCCAGGAACGCTGGGAAAGCTGAAGCTGTTCCCAGGGAGCTGAAGAACTCCACCCATGCTAACAAAAATCCTCTGCGCTCTGCCTGCCCCAGTCCTTCCCTCACACAGGGTCTCCTGTAAGGGTAAACCAGCAAAAAGCAGCCCCAGAGGAGATGGGCTGAACCCTGGAGCAGCAGATGGGCCTTAGACAGACAGGGAAGTGTCACTGCCTTGGTAGGACTGGAGACACTGGCAGCACCAGAGGACACAGGGGCAGAGAAACGGGGATGGGGAGATGTTCAGGGACAGAAAAGGGAGAGGACAAGCACAGGCTTCCCAGGAGAAAACCTGCTTCTAAAGCTGACAGAGGAGAGAAAGCACGTGTCAGAATCAGAGAGGTCCTCCCCATGCAGCCCCACGCACCTAAGCTGAGCGCGACGCCGGTGCCCCGGTGCGTGATGGACATCGCCATGGGCAGTGGCCACCTGGAAAACAACCAACGTGGTGAGCAAAATGGGGCATGACACCACGGAGGCCCTGAGGCCCAGGACAAAGCCACAGCCCCTCTATTCCTAGACAGCTCCAGGCTGCTGGGCGGGTATTTCTGCACTCGGAGCTATTCCAGGAATCCAGTCTGAGCGAAAGGGGAAAGACGGGGGAATGTGCAGAGGCAGCTTGGGAATGGCAAATGCCACTGGCACGGGTTTGGGAATGGGAAGGGCGTCTGCTGAGAAAGCTTAAAGGGAGGGGAAAGAGGAGAAGACTATCATGCTACTCTGGTTGAGGAACCAAGGGGCAGGGTTTGGGCATCCAGGCTAAGGGATAAACAAGGGAACCTGGAAAAGTGCAGCAGATGCCCTGCCCACCCTCCCACTCCAGGGTGCCTGTGGGACTGGGCTGTGGTGTGGCAGAGCCCAGGGGTGCTCCAGCATGACACCCAGGAGGCCACAAGGCTCTTACTTGTAAATGGTAAAGTGAGGGGACAAGGGACGATTGGACTTGGTGTTCTTCTCCCAGAAACGAGCCATCTCCTCCTTGGCTGTCGTTCCCATTGGGACAACACTGCAAAAGAAGAGGAGACAGGTGGTACAGGAGGATGGGCAGCATTACACCCCTGCCCGCTCCACCGGGACAGTTCCCATGGCACAGGATGAGCTCCTGGCAGCCCTTGGCTCCAGCTGTGCCTGGACACAGCATGGGGGCGGCCGGGAGCGGGGGGAATGCTGCTGGCTCTCCAGAGGGAGTAACACCACCAGGGAAGCTTCAGCACTGGAATCCACTCGGCCAGTGGAGCTGAGCCCACCCCGGCGCAGGATATCAGATAACATGTTATGTAACACTGATAACACAACCTGCTCCCGCTGTGGTAATTGCAGACTGTGCCACATAAAGAGCTTGTCATGTAACGTTCCCAAGATTACACAGCAATTACATTTGCAGCCAAATTTAGCAGAAAATAACTATCTCCCCCTAAGCCAAACAACACGAAGCACAGGGACAAGAGGGCTTCTGCGGTGCCCACCTCCCCGTGGGGCGGAGCTGAGGCCACAGGGGTGACGGGCAGAGACCCAGGCCCACCCCACCCCAGCCGCTCCCTGCAGTGACACCCCCACCCCAAGACCCAGCCCCTTCATAAACAGGCCATGGTGGACGAGGTGGCAAGTGGCCAACACACGGTGTTGATCGACCAGAATTCCTAAGTGGATGGAGCCCCAGAGCCTCCTGGGGATCCCTTGGGGAAGAGCTTAATCCCATTACTCCCGGTAAAGGCTGGGACTCACTGTCGCACGGGAAGGCCAGGGCCAAGCCGGGCCAGCAGACATCGCCGACCAACACATCTGTGGGAGAGAAGACAGGAAGGCTTCGTGAGCACCAAAAAGCTGCTGGGACATGCTAGGGATACAGGGCTGGGAAAAGATTCACCACCTTGGTGGTTTCTATCTTAAAATCAGCCTCAACAAGAGGGGATCTGGGCTGATCCTCTGCAAACCTTCTCCCTCTTACACCAAGCTCTTAACTAGAGTCTCTACACTCTGGCCGGGACTCATTCTCTAGGACACCCTGTAATTAGTCTGCTCAGCTGCAACACCTCGTTCACAAACAGACACCAGCAGCACTAAGGGCTCACAGCTACGGGGCAGCAGGCAGCACAGAGAGACACATCTGTCCAGCTGCCCCAGGGGACATTGCCCCCTCCTCCCAACACCCATTTTCATCAGGGCCTTGCACTGCCCTTCATTATGCCCCCAGCACCAGTGCAGTGGGGCCAGCGCCGCAGGCTGCGCCTCAACAGCGGCTCAGGCGGCGAACAGGGATTTTGTGGTGCCCGAAGGGGCAGAAGCAGCTCCCTGTAGATTGTGGCAGCTGCAACTCTGACAAGTGAGGGCACCTCTCCAGGGCTGAGGGAACCAGGCCCCAGCACAGCCCAAGCATTTGCAGATATGAGCTGGAATCTGCAGCACCCGCTGCCTGTCCCGAAGGCATGACAGGAACAAGGTGTGTGCCCGCTCTGCAGCACAGCCACCAGCACTAATTAGTCTTCCCAAACACATCTGCACCAGCATCTCCCACTGTTTCAATAACACTAGCAGATACACAAAGCTCTGCTGCTCCTCAGTTGTCCTACAGCCAGTCTCGAGGACATGGTAGGAAAAACATCTGGAGGTCACCAGGTGTGAGCGCAAAACAAACGTCACCATTATTAACCACTCTGAGTTCCTGTGGAAATGATTGTTAGGATGTTTCCTTTCAAAATCCTCCCTCGCCTTCAAACGCTGGACTTGAAGCACAGCAGGTTTTCAGGAAAGCATCCCAGCTGGGTGTGTGAATTTTCAGCAGTGCAGAACAGGACACCCTCCCAGGCTGCAGTGCAACATTTCTGACTGAAAACCTCTTTTTGAGCCATCTCCAGTTTATCAGCCCTCTCCCTGAAGCACAGACAGAGTGAGAGCTCAGGAGGACAGGGATGACCACGGCCAACAAGGGTTCAAGAACATCCAGGAGCTGCCTCGGCCTGCAGCTGATGCTGACCCAAACCAGGGGGTTTAATTCCAAAACAAGTGGCTTTGCCACCCCCTAGACGCAGGGAACCAGCTCCCTGCTCATCCTGGACCAACAACAGCTGCCAGGACCGCATCCCTGGGCAGGGGAGAGGACATGAAGGATAAATCTCTACCCGCAGACCATGAATGATTTACACAGCTCGCAAGGCTCCCCCTCAGCCCTCATTTCAGGATTAAAAGGCCCAACCTACGTCATCCCTCCCGGCACAGAAGCTGCTCCAACACCTCTTGGGGGGCCAGGGCACAGAGAGGGAGGAATCACACACAACATTCAAAACAAGAACAAAATCCACAACGCGTTTGCATTTTTTCAAAGCTAAACTCCCCAGCCAGAGCTCTCCATCCTCTCAGCTCAATTTTAGTTGTTGTGGTTTTTTTAAGATGCAAAGCATCACATCTTGCCTCAGTGCAATCACTGTTGCTTGCAAAACAGCCCTCCAGCGACGCAATCAAGGTCACTCTGTACCCAGGACCTGTCCTCTTCATTATTTATCACTCCCTGAGTTTTTGCATCTTTTCCAGCTTTCTCTCCATTAACTCACATCTCCTTCCAGATCACTGATAAACATGTGGTTTGTTTGTTTTTTCTAAAAAGGAGCTCTAAGAGAAGATTCTTCAGACCCCAGCTGAGCGCTTCCCAGGGCACCCAAGGGAACTCCAGCTCTGTCCCACACCCCAGGAGGGTGCAAAGACCCAGGGGACCCCCTCAACAGTGGGAATTACCGGGGCCTTCACAGGCCCTTCCTCCCCAGCTCCGTTAGCTCAGGAAGAGAATTTCGGGACAGCTCTGGAGACCATCAGCTCCGAATCACATCAACACAGATCCCGCAAGGCAGATCTATAAAAATCCCTCAGATTCCACCAAGGAGGAGGCAGATGAGAAGCAATTAAATATGCTTTTTCATCTGACAAGCAGAAGCAGACAGGAGATGAGTTACCAGGCACAGGCTGCACACCAGGGCCAGCGGCTGCTCCTGTGTTTTCCCAGCAGCGGCTGCGGGGCGCCCCCCCGCACGTCCCTCCCATCCCCCCGTTTTTTTAAGATGCAAAGCATCACATCTTGCCTCAGTGCAATCACTGTTGCTTGCAAAACAGCCCTCCAGCGACGCAATCAAGGTCACTCTGTACCCAGGACCTGTCCTCTTCATTATTTATCACTCCCTGAGTTTTTGCATCTTTTCCAGCTTTCTCTCCATTAACTCACATCTCCTTCCAGATCACTGATAAACATGTGGTTTGTTTGTTTTTTCTAAAAAGGAGCTCTAAGAGAAGATTCTTCAGACCCCAGCTGAGCGCTTCCCAGGGCACCCAAGGGAACTCCAGCTCTGTCCCACACCCCAGGAGGGTGCAAAGACCCAGGGGACCCCCCCAACAGTGGGAATTACCGGGGCCTTCACAGGCCCTTCCTCCCCAGCTCCGTTAGCTCAGGAAGAGAATTTCGGGACAGCTCTGGAGACCATCAGCTCCGAATCACATCAACACAGATCCCGCAAGGCAGATCTATAAAAATCCCTCAGATTCCACCAAGGAGGAGGCAGATGAGAAGCAATTAAATATGCTTTTTCATCTGACAAGCAGAAGCAGACAGGAGATGAGTTACCAGGCACAGGCTGCACACCAGGGCCAGCGGCTGCTCCTGTGTTTTCCCAGCAGCGGCTGCGGGGCGCCCCCCCGCACGTCCCTCCCATCCCCCCCCCTCCCTCCCTGCTGCCTTCAAACCAGCCCGCACAGACAACAAAGAGTCTCCCGCAAACCCGTGACAGCCGCTAG